CATCTATCAATTAGGAGTTGACTCAATTAGGATTACCAAAATACATTATTAAACTTTATTCGACTTTCCACAACATTTATTAAACTCATATAGGGATTGGACTTATCAATTTATAGTCAATGATAATTATTTACTTTATAAGTTTTTCTAAAAATGCAAATGAAAAAATTTATAAAAGATACATAATAACCAGGCCACATGGCGTGACCTGGTTGGTTTATGTTACACGGGGACCAAACCAAATGCTTACCATGGTATACTTTTACACCATCATTGTAGTAAAAATAATCATATTTTGGATAAATATTTACACCGTACACAGTGGTATAAAATTATACCACGAGTGTTGATGCTCTTATTTTCTCACTCTTACTTTCCTAATAGGAGCATGTATATGGTAAGTTTTGAATTTTTTGCAAAGGATTGATGACATGCCATGCCATCTTTGTTTTTTTCAATCACATCATGTTTTGGATTATTTGTTTTACTACTTATTCTTAGTTCCTTAATTCATGTGTAGCTTTACAAACAAGAATAAAAAAAAGGGAAAAGAGGGAGTATTGATTATCGTGTCATTTAACATAATCATTTTAATATGTGGTGGAGATTTATTTAAATCAAATTATGCGTGTAAGTAAAAAAATTTAGTCATATTTCAGTCACTTCAAGCTAATTTTGGTGGAGATTAATTTCACGCTTATCAATAGTTTACAACTTGAAAAAATTCAAATTTTCCCTCCCCCAAAAAAACCCAATTACCGCCAATGAATTCACCCCTAAAACAGAGTCACACTAATTGTTCCCTGACCAAATGCATTTGTTCAGTATAAATTTAGAGAGAGACAACGTGCCTCATTGCTCTGCTTTTTCCTCATCTTCATTATCAAAATTATTCAATCCAAATAGCAATTCTGGCATGGACAATCCTCTGAAGAATTGTTCTTACGATTTCGTGTGCCCCCCTTCCCACCGCCCACCAAAAATTTATGTTAACATTGAGGATTTACAGGAGTGCATAAAAAATGCACCCGATGATCTCCGTATGAAGCTGGCCAAAATTACCCTTAAGGAACGACATCGGAGGATGATGTTCAGTCATTAGCTTGCTGCGATTGAACGGAGTGGGAATGTCTTATACGACATACGGTTCCACCCGGAGTACCCTTATCTAAGGCCTTTCAAGATTACGTATCCTATTTATTTTAGGCGTGATGCCTTTGCTATGCTTTTTTATATGCTTGACTTATACACCATTGCATTTTCATTTCAGTTGGGTGAGTTAAGAGAACATATCTATAAATGCCAGTTGTTTCAAAGGCAATACAGGTATTTTGAGAAGTTCCTGAGGTTAGTCATGCCGTTGGAGAAATGGCTAAAGTTTTAGTTGAGTGTCAGGCCACACATGGAGAAAATGCGTGGGCAATGGTGACTCTGCGCCATGAGTTTTCAACTCAAATTGATGAAGAGAAAACTCCAACAATCATGAAATGGATAAAATTCTCAAACAAAGGGTTCAACGAGGTGTTTGACGAAGACAAGAAGGTGTACAAGAGCTTTGTTTCAATGATTTGTAGAATCAATGAAGTAGAGGACGAAGTAGTAGCAGGAATTCTTAAACACCTTCCCGTGGCAGACACAGAGAGTCTCTTCCCAGATAATTACAATGAAAATTTGGCAGATGCTTGCATCAACCATGGCGAGTGGTACCTTTTCCGGTACCGAGGATCTTCTGATTCCGAGGATATGGTGGACTCTGATGACGACTCTGACGGCCCAACATGGTGGTAAGTGTTGGTATGATTAAAACAAATGCATATGAAATCTAATAAATTTTTGATCTTTTGCAGTGTTATATTGTTCGACTTTATGATAACATTAGTTCTGTTGATGTTTAATTATCATTAGTACTAGTTTATTGTATAATTACCATTAGTATTATTAACGATATGCTTTATTTTAAGTTGTAATTGTATAAATGGTTTTCTCTTAAACGTTTATCGTCATCTAAAGTAGTTTAATGTACCTTATGATTACGTAATTGTCATTTCTTTATTTTAGTACTTTATTTAATATCAAATTAAACGAAATGAATCGAATAAATAAATAATTATAGTAAAACTAATATACTTTGAATTTAGTAAACGGATACTGTCATTTTAATTAGTATATTGTACATTATAATTGGGTAATTGTTTTATAAGTAGTATAACACCCTACTACTGGAGTAGTTTATTAGTACAACTCAACAAGTCACTTTATGTGCAAAAATTTAACATGTTACAATCCACCATGTTACAAAGTTTTACGGTTTTGTTGAATTTGTAACACTTGTAACAGGACCGATGAGACGTGGAAGAAAATTTGTTATTTGTTACTGACTTTATGTGCAACAATTTAACATAAAATAGAGAACACTATTGAATTTTGAGTAGCACTTTCAATCAAATCATTGCCATCAATATTTAAAAGGCCCCACTATTTACCATCACCCCTTGAAAAGGAATCAGTATTTACCATCTTCTCCTCTCCACTATTGTATTCAATTTTAAGTGTATTACTATTGCAAATCGAAGAATACGTTGAAATAGCATCGCATATCGAGCTTTAAAGAACTCCAAGGTGTGTAATTGACATATACACATTGTGGGCAAACGTAATGATAGTTGACAAGCAAATAGTGCGTCTATATTATATTTGAATTACAAATGACAATATTAAGATTTATAAGTAATTTTATAAGTAACAAAGGATATTTAAAATTATAAGTATGAACAATATACACTAAATAAAATTTTATATTGAAAGTATTCATATTAGTAACATACCATCTTGAACGTGTTGAATTAGAAAATAATCGATTGAATCCATCAATTAACAACTTTAATTGATTGACTTTGAAGTTTAGAGTGAATTAACAACTGTAATTGGTTGACTTTGCACTTAGTTAGAGTCAACTAGGGTTAGTTCTCGATTTTGACTTTTCAATTAGTCGTAATAACAATCGATTGAATCCATAAATTAACAACTGTAATTGGTTGACTTTGCAGTTTAGAGTCACTTAACAACTGTAATTGGTTGAATACGCAGTTAGAGTAAATTTTTTGCGGTGTTATTAAAACTTGTTTTTGTTGATGTTTAATTATCATTACTGCGTAGTTTATTGTGTTTATTATATCATTATTTAGTAAATTGTAATGAGTATTATTTTTTATAATTGTCATGTCAAACTATATGCTTTATTATAGCTTATATTTTCAAACAAAATGAACCTAAAGGTTTTATTTGGTTAGCGTATATTGTCATTTAATATACTTATTAAGATATTGTCATTTGAAGCAATTGTTAATTGTTTTTGTTAATTGTTTGTAGTTGTTGGTTATGTTTGTGTAACATTTATATGAGCTTTAGTTTAAAAAAGGGTTGAATCACCTTAATACACGACCCTTTTATATCATTTTTCATGCGAAAATTGATTAATACTAACATATGAGAAATAAATTTATCTGACAACATGTGTACTAGTGCCCCCTACTACTGCCGCCCTAGTCTACGTACTGCTTTCAATCACATCATTTGAAAAAGCTAAATTTAAAGGAGACAGTATTTACCAATTTACATCAGCCGTAATTAATTACCTTAAATAACCTTAAATAAAAAATCAAAACCATCTTCTGCAATAGTAATTTCACAAAAACTGTTCTCCTTAAATTCAAGTGGAAAATATTTTGCATGGCTTCATCTGATGAGTCTGAACCGGAGTCGGAGGATTCCTTGGACCTCACCAATGAAACCAAAGATTGTGTTGTAATTCAGGATAAGCTATTATCAACGAGGTGTATGTTCATTGTAAAGGGGGGTGAAGTCGACGATATCGGTAATGAAGTCCACACGAGTATTGACAACTCTTTTAATAAAGTGTTCTGGGAGTGGTCAAGGATGACAGGTGTGCTTGCTAAAGACATAAGAATGTACATCCGAGGGGAACTGATAACCCCTAAGGACACATCGCATGACATGGGTATATGGAACAATGATGTCGTCCTCGTCTATGATAAGGTATATTACTTGCACTACATGCGATAACTAATTTTGTTAATGGGTTTATTTTAAAAGTAATTAGTTTGTTTTGTGTTTTATTAGGAGGAAAATCCATTGCCAGTATGTCTTGTAGGCGAGACAAGAAGAAAACATAAGAGTATTAATATTACAAACCTTAGAACACGTCGAGATACTATCGGATATCGAGCTAAGGGAGACTCCAAAGTAATTGAGATGTAAAAGTTGTGGGAAAATATAATGAGGGTTGACGAGCAAAGAGCATTCAAACAACTTGCACTCACATTCTACTCGCTGATCTTCACTATAGTATAAAACGCGGTAAGTCCGCCACTTGTTGATCGGCTTCTCCTTCTTCTCAAATTCAACCCACACATATACTCTATCTTTTATTAAATGTTCGAAATAGGCTGAAGATATCTCATGTATGCTACTACTAGTGCAATACATGAGCCTCTTGCATTCCCTTTGCACCTCCATAAACTTTGAGTCAGTGTACACATTCCGAAATGTTTCCTCAAACTAGAAATCAGTCACTAGACCACGTAGGAACATGGTCGAGTTACCATCTGCTAGCCTCTCTAACAGAAATCGCTGCTCCATAGCAGCCGATTGCTTCTCAGCAAAGTCACAAAGTCTAGTGTTCCTGTCGAAGAACTCATCAAAAAAATTTTGAACGCTTTCTGACCTATGTGTAGTCTTCATTCCTGCCCAGAACAAATGCTTCATTGCAGCTGGAATCCACATTTCCCTCTCATCATATAAAACAGCAAGCCACATGTTACTGGCTAACTTATGCTTCTCAATAAATTCCTTCCACCTCAATTCAAACTCCTCCATAGATAAACTGTCATAGATTATATTTTCAATTCCTCCTTAAAATCTACGTACCCCTTACACTTCCCTAACTTCACACCAAATTATTCTGTAATGTGCCACAAACATCATCTGCGTCTGGTTTGTGGCATCACAACTTTCAATGCTTTGCGCATCGTCGGATCTTGGTCAGTCAATATAGTCGTAGGAGGGTCCCCTCCAACATCATCAAGCCATGTCGAAAACACCCACCTGAAACAACAATTTAAACAACAATATAACAATTACAATATGAAAATATGACAAATCAAACACATAAATGGCATAATAACATAATTAGCTAACAACAAACACTAAAAAATAAATTTGAAGAAGAAAATTAAATTGATATAAGAACGCACTTAAAGGTTTCAGTGTCCTCGTGGGAGATTAATGCGCATCCAAGCAATATGGTTTGCCCGTGATGGTTAACACCAACAACATTTGCAAAGGGCAAGTCATACTTATTCATAAGGAAAGTGGTGTCAAAACAAACAACATCACCGAAATCCTCATACGCAGCCCTACTGCGTGCATCTACCCACAACACATCCTGAAGAACTCCATTATCATCCAACCGATGTACATGGTAAAAGTTCTTATTGTTCTTCTGTATCATTTTAAAGTAATTCATCATGGCATTCGCATCTCCATCCTTAAATTTCAATTTCTTCTCCTTCGCAGCCAAGTTATTCAAATCCTTTGTGGTGAAAGCAACATTTTCATATCCATTCCGCTGACTAGCCAACCACCTATGGAGTTCTGCGTTAGGAAACCCAACATCATTACCAAAGTGGAGTGCACACCTAAATACGGTACCTTCTTCAACTCTTCTAACCTATACTTTGTCACCAACATTGACTTTGATGGGGAAAACAGATGGCTATGACTTAAGCACACTTTCCTCAGCTCCCATTTCCCATTAGAAGTGAAGCTACTATACACCATGGCCCCGCAACCACATTTTTTAGTGGCAACAGGTTCTCCTTCCAACTCCCTAGAAATTCTTTTACCACCGACCTTCCTTCGAGTGTCAGGTTTACCAGCATAGTCGCATTTCCATGTCACTTCCCGTTTTATCTTACTTCCATCTTTAAAGTGCTTGTATGCACTTTGGCCACGTACCACCCCAAAGCCTTGCTGCTTCTCATAAGCATTGAAATAGACATCTATTTCTTGCCACGAATCAAATATCATCCCTATTATAGGAGGGTCGACATTCAAAAAACCTCATATCCACCAGATCACCTCCACCATTCCCCTCTCCATCCACCTCCCCTTCAGCTTCATCTATAGACCTTGAGTCACCACTATCACCAGCCCCTTCTCCATCTTATTTTATAAGCTGCAACATTTCTTCATCATCGTCATCAATTGATAACGGAACATCATCTTGCGCAACTAACTCCCCCTCCTCCCTATATTCCATGTTTTTTACTGCCAAAAAATTAAATTCACATTTATCATTACATTGTTATATATATATATAACAGCAGTAGGCTCCTACTTAATGGTCAGCAGGTAAATCAGTTAAGGGAAGCATTTCTACCTCATGCTCATGCTCAATGCTCATGCTCAGAACACAGTGTAAAAGATAACATGCTTATGTTCAAACACAAATCCACAACAATCAGCAAACATGTTCATTCTGTCTATCTTTCCTTATTAGGGACAAGTACCAAAAGGATTCATTCACAAATCAACAACAACCACCAAAACGATTGTTCCAATAAGAACAAACAAAGCATGACAATGAATATTATATGCATGTTACATTTTTATTATATTATATATTATCATTTTTGCTCTTAAATACTGTCATATTGATAAGTATCATGACAACCAAGAACAGCACATTTCACATTCGTCAACCCAAAATAATAAATATAAATCAGTTCAATATCCAAAATCCGAAGAAAATAGAACAAATTATGTCAAAATCAGTAATGATAATAATGAATCAGTAAATCAGTATCTATCCAGCCAAGTTTAGCTAATTCAATAATACAATTACTCAAATTTAGCTAATTCAATTATACAATTACTCAAATGTAGCTAATTTAATCGTACATGCAAGTTAATTGTTCAAATTTTTTCAATTATACAATTAAACAAATGAGTTTTACTCATCAAAATGCCCGCTAATACCGAAAATTGATGATGCCGGACCAAACCTACTGGAATCTGACGACAACCCACAGATTAACATACCGTAGCGCGCCGCTAGTCGAAGAACTACGAACTCGTTGAAGAACATTAATGGAGAACTTTAGTTGGAAACGGGAAAGTAAGGGGGAAAGAAAATTGAAAACGGGAAAATGGTTATAACGGTATAGAGAACCGCGCCAATACGTATTTGTTTCGCAGATGGGTCCCGCAAGAGTACGTTTATACGTCAAAATACATATGTGGGCCCTGCTTTTGCTTGTGTTGGGAAAACAAACCCCAGCAATTTGCTGGGTTAAGCTTTAGCCGATCTTTGCTTACTAGCACAAATAGTTAAGTATTCGAAACAAAACCAACTACCCAAGCGAATCCAAGTTTGTTCACTAATCTAAGCTCAAAATATGCCTAGTGCGTATTAAGTTTGGTTTCATGGCTTGATTCAAAGTTTCCATATAAAAAGACAAAGTTTTGGTGAAATATCCACCTCCAAATTAAAGCAAATAAACTCCCATTGAGTATGGGAAGGAAAGTTATGGGCTAGTCATGTAGCTGATTTAACAGTAAAATTCCCGTTATTTGACAAACCCTAAGAAGGTTCATCTTGAATGTATGAAGCACGAAGGGGTATACCTTTAATAAGATAAACTAGATGAGTAGGAAGTAGTTGCGAGAGAGGCATACTATCCCACTCTTTATTATTATTAATGAATAAAAAGATCCACAGTTGTATCCAAGTTGACAATAGTAGAGATGTCCATACATAACAAAGAAATAAGATTCTCGAAGGTACACTAATCGTATAACAAAAAAAGAACACTTGTCCCATTAACAATTTTCCATCGGAGACCACGAAGAAGAAGGGATCGTATTTGCAGAATTTTCTTCCATATCCATGAGTCTTTGCGCTGCGGGAAATATTCAAAAAAGGTTTTATGTAACAACTATTAACCGTGACAGAGTGAACCAATAAATTATTCGGATCAGAGATAATTTTCTAACCTAGTTTAGCTAATAAAATAGAATGAACGACTTTCGTCTTACGAAGGCCAAGGCCACAATAATCCTTTGCTAGACAAATCTTATCTCAAGCCACCATAGGAATTCCTTGTTTGTTTGTAGTCAATTTTAGAAGAAGAGTTGTGGACGTAGTGTAGGAGGACATTGACTCTAAATGACTTTGAATTAAAACAATTTTTTCGGCTTTAGAGACTGTGTTAGCAGGCCAATTGTTCATATTTTGTTCCACTTTAACAATCAAATTTTAAAATTATGCTTTATGAATGAAGGACGAGGAATCGAATAAAACCCAAAGTATCTTCCAAAAATGATTTGGGGGTCATATTAAAATATTTCCTAGATTTCACTTTTTAGACAAGGGAACTAACTTTGAAAAAACAATCGAGGACTTATGAAAGTTTATCAGTTGACTAGAGAGAGCTGAGAATTCTGATAAAATATTAAGAATATGTGCAAAAGAGGTAAATGCTTTACAAAAACGAAGATATCAATAGCAAATAAACGGCAAGGAATAATCGGAGTTAAGGGAGAAATCCTAAAACCAACACTGTGCCTATATATTTTAAACGGTCTCAGATAACGTTTTCTTTTATAAGACTTCCATACAAATGACGAATAAAACTGGAGACAAAGGGTCACCTTGATGAGGTCCTCTAGACGGTGTTAATAAATTAGTGGAATTTGAGTTGAATTTGGATGAATAAGAGAATGTAGTAACACAGCATGTATTTACCAATTCCAAATATTACTAAATCCATACACAGTTAGAGTTGCCCATAGAAAATCTCATTCTATTATATTATATGTCTTCTCCATATCTATATTCAAAGCCAGACAACCTGTATTATTTTGGATTCATTAAAAATGTTCAATATTTCTTGGATTTGGAAAATGTTGTCTTGAATAGTGGTGTCTAGTGCAAAAGCATTTTGATAAGGTCTAATAATCTTTTTAAGGAATAGTTTATTACGGTGAACAAGTACCTTTTGGAAGTGGCTTTATAAAGGGTTGTACAAAGACTAATTGGATGATATTGATTCGCTTTGGTTGGTCATTAACCTTTGGGATAAAGGGTTATAAGAGTATGATTAAGTTGACATAGTAGAATATCGCAAGTTGACATAGTAGAATGCCGTTTAAAAAAATCCACAGATAGCTTTACAAACATCAGGTTCAACAATAGGCACTAGTTCTGGAAGAATTTAGGTCCAAATCCATCAGAACCAGAAGCCTTATAGGAGCACATATAAAAAAAAGCTTGTTCTAATCTCTTCATTTAAAAAGGGACCAGTAAGATCAAAATTATCAAAATCGGAAATAACAGGCTTAACACATGGCATATGAAAGTGTTTAGAATGGTTAGTCTAATATTTAAATCTTTTAGAGAATTCTTAATATTAATTGACTGATATTCTCAAGGAGACTCCACCCAATTGTCTCCATGATCATCTTGTAACTTATAACTTTGAGTCTTTTCTTCACAAAATTTCATAGTGTAATGAAAGTAATGAGTGTTCCTATCACCTTGAGTTAAAAAGTTTTTCTAGCTAATTTGCCCTAATATTATTTTCCCAAAAAGGAGTAGTTTTTCTCTTTATTTAACTAGATGAATGAAGTTTTGTTTAATATGAACATTATTAGGTTACAGTTGTAGTTGGTCCTCCACATTCTTTAATTTATCTCTATTAGTAGAGAGATTGGCCTGAATATTACCATACTTTTTAAAGTTCCAATGTTTGAGATCTATCTTAGTACGAGCCATTTTCTAAGTTATATAGAAAAATGGGTTCCTAAAAAAGTATGAGACCAATTTTTGGAGTTCAAGCTAAGCACATCTTGATTTATAGTCCAAGCATTTTGAAAGCAGAAGTTAGAAAATTTACGTGGACCTATGGTATCAAGATAAAGACAAATAGGACCCAAAGCATGAAAAAGTGATGAGTTCCATTTATGACACTCATTTAACCTCTTTTAGGATGGATTTTAATCAATTTTATAGCTCTTTTATCTCTTTTTCTTTAGTTTTACTTGTTTTTTCTCTAGTTTGTGTTTTCCTTGGTTTTTTCCTATTTTCTTGCATTTCTAAGTTTATTTTGCCTTTTATCCTTTATTTGTTTGCTTTTCTTTGATTTTAGGAGATTGGTGATGTTCAAGTAGCTTAATGGTTTTTTCTCAGGATTTGAAAGGTTCAAGATGCAAGCCGATCTCTCGCTTTAAATCTCAAATGTTAAGGGGTGCTTGGTCCAAGTCTTCTTGGCCGCGCTCTCAAGCTGCGTGGGCATAAAAAATGGTGTTGAACCCACCGTGGAGGCCTTTGGAAACTTCCACCCCAATGTTCATCAAGTAGAGCGCACAGAAACATTGATGGACGCACAAGAGGAGCTCCCCTACTCCCAAGCGCGGGCGTGCACGAAGGTGGCGCGGGCATGCAGGGCAAGGGCGCGACCGCGTAGGTGTGAGGTGCGGCCGCGCAGTTCCGTAACCATTTCTTCGCGGCCGTGCATATTGATGAGAGGGCGCGCCTATTGGTGTTTTTTTTGGACGTCTAACTAACTTCTCCTTTGTTAGTTTTATTATATATAGATTTTTCTTCCTTTTAGAGAGAGAACATGAAGAGATGAAGAATATAATTAGAATTGTATGAGAATTAGACTAGTTTTAGAGAGAGAAGCTCAAGATTTTGGGAAACTTTTTTAGATTTTAGAGAAAGAAACTTGGTAATTGATGATTACTACAATTTGACCTTCATTCGTTTAGATATTGATCAAAGTTTGTTAAGAATTCCTTTCTCTTTAATGCAAGTTTTGTGTTTGATCGTTGATATATTGTTGAATTTATATAGATTGTTTGAAAGATTGTTGATATTTTGATCGAAATGTTGATGATGAAATTAATGATAAGTTTAGTTATTCTTTTCAATTTTACAATGTGTAGTGAGTAGTTCCTTTGCTAGGGATATGGTGAAACATGTATGAATGATAAGGTATTGCTAATTTGGGGGTTTTGATTGAATG